ATGTATATCATTAACAAGAAAACAGTGGGAAATAACTAAACTATTCCACACTTGTCTTGATCATATGTGGTTGGAGAGAACTACTTTTTCTTCTGCTTGAGTAATGCATAAGCCATAAGTCTGTCACTCCGTCTATAGATGTATGGCAGGTCATTTTAACATAAAATCTGCTTCGTTTGACTGTTGTTACATTCTAGATGAGGGGTTCCCAAACCTTTTCATGCGATGGTCCCCCAAAACAGCATTAGCTCTGGCCAAGGACCTTCTTGCAWACCCACAAACMATGCTACAAAATAACAACGTAACACCTTTTAGCATGTTTTTCTCACTTTTATTCACTATTGAAAAATTATTATATTTCTTTAGAATAAGAATTTTAAATTGTGCTAAACAAATATAAGGTCAGGACTAGAAAGATGTAATTAAATAAATTACTATGTCATGTAATATTTATAAAGCAGTTATTTGAAAAATGCTACTTTTTAAGATTCACCAGACACATCATGTGTGTTTTCACATTATCATATATCAGTATCGCCGATACCATCCACATTTTGATTTGTTCGGAAAGAAAATTGGTAGTATCGAACATCACTAGCACCGTCTCAGTAGTCAAGAAAACCTTGTTCTTCAACCTTTTGAGGTTTAAATCCAAATTTTATTTTGGAAGCTTAATGCTTGACTTAAATAAAACAGAAATTTTAAATAGCTTTTTTTTATTTTCTTGGGATCTGTGATTGATAGTAATAAATCTAGTGCTACAGCTCTAGTAACAATAATAAAAGTGCCCATTATCAAATGTGAAGTGTACTCCAGCTGCCAGGCTGACACAAACAGACCTGTGCCAGAGGACTTCCTTTCACATCCAAAAACCAAGACTTCTCTTCATTAGCAGAAGCTAACACTGCCTTGCTTCTTTCTTGGTCWGTACCGACGAACTTTGTCCGTTTCAAGCCAAAACGTTGTGCTGACTTTGCTCCCTGTAGCAGGAAGCTAACGGTTAGCAGCAACAGGGTTTCTTCATCTCTCTGCTTTTCATTGAGCCTGCATGGGACGGCCAAGCAGCTGTCTTCTTAGTGCTGTTTCTGTTCAACCCACTGCTGGATGTGTTCAGAGGGCCCAAAGGGATCAATTACCAGGGCCGGTACCGACCCATATCCGCTGGGGGGGTGTGGGGTTGCATAATAATGGAGGGAGGGGGGCACTGGGAGATCCCATCAGACCCAGGGTGAGCTGAATCCACAAAGTGAAAGAGCGGAGGAATCAGATAGTAAGTGTTTGGGAGGGGTGGGAGGGGGGACGTCAGCAGTTGTTTACAAACCCAGTCGAAGGAGTTTTTTCACACCCGGCTGAGTTTAAACGAGTCAAACCTCTGGAAGCAAAGACCAACCCTGACCTGACGATTGTTGAGCAGGAAGCTAAAACTCTCCTCACCCCCTCAAATATCATGCACAAAAATGTCCTCCGCTCCAGAGAGACTATAAAACATGCAAACCCCAACACATGAGCTCATACATTATCAAATATTATCATATTCCCTCTCAACTGTTAGAGGTTGCATGGTGAACTGATCCGGTCTCGTTTCTCCAGCCCTCCCCTCGTCTCCGGCTCTTCTCTGTGAAAACTGCCTGATTACAGTAATCACCGTGTCTCTCAGTGGGAGCCACTCGCGCTCGTCGCACGCTGTTTACGTCCTGAAACATGCCAATCAGAATCAGCCTAATGAACATATGATTACAACTAGTCAGGAGATTCTCTGTGTTCACAACTGCCGTTCATGTTCAGAGTTACTGTTAGCCACGATGTCGAAAATTCACTATGATTGGAAATGAAATGAGGTGTAATTTGGAGCGACAACGAGTTTTGTTGGGTTATAATCACTCGGAACAACAAACTCCAGTGGAGGGCAGCGCTAATCCAAAAATTAGCTCTGCAATTTCTAAAGCACTTATGTTAATATTTAGGTCCGCAACCTCTAAAGCACTTATGYCATAGAAAAACTAGCGGAAGCTAATTTTAAAGCGCAAGTTCAATTTGACACTCACTAGCTGGCAACAATTCATGTACAATATATTTACAACACTGCCAACTAGTGGTGTATGAACTCTTTTACAGCTTAATCCTACAAGCGCCGATTGCTGGGGATGTGATTTCCTGAAACAGAACTTTAGCTCCTGGTGTAAAAATTAAAAAGTTGTTGAGGATTGCTAGTTCGGCTTATTCTTTGTCTTTTTCTTTTGTTTGTTGTAGATTTTTCATTAAAGAAGCATCAATAAAGTCATTTTAAAACTATTGGAAAACTGAAGCGATGCTTCTGGGTACATGATGGATTTGATTTGTGACGGGAAACGAAAGCACGGAGAACAGGAAACTATCTTCCCTTCAAAATAAGAGCTTGGATTTTAAAGTTTTTCATGTGGTTGCTGCAGTTGACCACTAGATGTCAGTCTTTATCTATCATAACATCTTTAAATCATTTCTGCGTATCTGACCCCGTTGCTTCGACCAATTACATCAAGTATTGAGCTCCAGTGTTTAAACTTTATTTTTTCAAAAAAAGGAGCTCTGATTGTAAAGTAAAATAAATCAATACGTACAAAATTTTAGTATGGATTTCAAACGTTTGCTGTTTTTGCTATTGCCTTCCTGCTACGTAAGCAGACACAAAGCATTGTGGGAAATTAGTAAGACCGCTAAAGCGTAAATGAAATATTTAGGTCCGCAATTAACAAATTTGTGCTTTAGCGGGCTGGTGCCCACTACTGACAAACTCCACTTTGTCTAAAAGTGTCTTGACAGGTTTTTCTTGTTGATATTTTTTCCCCCAATTAAGATGGGAAAGAAAAGTACTTTAGGAACCCCTGGCCTAAAAAGCCAAACAGGATCCACATCTCGACGTATCAACAAAATAAAAAACAGAGCGGTTAATACTTTACATTGGGCCTGTGTAGATGTGTGTTCGCGGTTTCTCCCGTCACGCTGCTTCTCTCTGGGTGTTTTATCAGGCTGTCACAAAAAGCCACCAGATAACCTTAGGTGATTTCGTACTCACTTCTCTGGTGTTCGCTGAGCTCTCCCGTTCTCACACACACCCAGACAGCTCTCTGCAACGTTTCATCTGCCAGTCAAAAAAAAAATGGTGGAGGGCAAACACAAAGCATCCTCCTCTCTGGAGATGGAAGGCAGCAAAGCCTTTCAATGAGACAAGGAGGCATAGGAGATGACTGCTGAGACTACACATCGTTTTGCTCAAAGAGAGCGCCCATCAAAGGCAACAAATGGGGAAAGCTGAACGTGGTAAATGATAAAATGTATGCTTGCATCATTTAAAACATTTTTTGGAGTAGAAAACAAACCTCTAGTTGTTTCCAAAGTATCAAATCAGTATATAATTTGGCATTTTTGCCTTTTTGTCTGTGATTAAACAGAATAAACTTCCTAATTCTCCAGATTGGACTCCATTAAAAGGTCACTTAGTTTGACATCTTATCTTTGAGTCAGACGTGTCTTGAGGCTAACTGATGAACCTGTTGAACATTTTGGTCAGATTGTGCTTTTCCACAGCTGTAATCCTGTTTATTATAAACATCAGTGTAAAATGAATGTTGCTTATGCAGCCAAACGCGTTCAAATAGTTAGATTTTGAAAGCAGCAGTAACTTTCTTGCTATTTAAGCAAACATTTATGGGCTGCTTAATGTGGAACCATCATATTTACTGTTCAGACTGAGCAACTAAACTCGTATATAATTCCAGGAGGTGTTGTAATAATAAATGTTTAAGATCCTGCTGCTCAGGCTGAGAAGATGAGCTGCTGCAGAATGTGTGCGTCTGGAAAAGACGCTCACCAGGTAAAAAGAAAAGAAAAAATCAGAGTCTAAATTTCTGGAAGTGATGAACGATGGGACAGGATCAGGGTGGGATGGGAGGGGATTCCCCACCCTTACACGTCATCACCTACAGACTGTAAACACGTTAGTGAAGAAAAGTCTGTAAATAAGTCACAAAACTGCTCAAAATAATCGAGAAAGTAAAAGTTTTTTTTACACACTAAGGCGTGAAGAGTTCAATTTACTGAACCAAACTGGTTCCGCTAAACAGAGTTGAGTAAATTTACACATTTTCACTTGTTCTCATTTAGTTGAACCAGTTGACATATCGTAACTTTGTTTAGTAAATTCAACACTTCTTTTTTAGAGTGCATAAACAACTCCTTTCCTTAGGAGTTCCGGACAAATTCAAATTTTTAACAAGTAACTAGTTAACTAGGGTTCAATTTTAAAGTAAGGAAGTAAAAGTA